CGGTCTCGGCCACGGCCCCCGGCCCCTCGGCCACGGCCATCACTCTGGCGGTCTCGGCCACGGCCCCCGGCCCCTCGGCCACGGCCATCACTCTGGCGGTCTCGGCCACGGCCCCCGGCCCCTCGGCCACGGCCATCACTCTGGCGGTCTCGGCCACGGCCCCCGGCCCCTCGGCCACGGCCATCACTCTGGCGGTCTCGGCCACGGCCCCCGGCCCCTCGGCCACGGCCATCACTCTGGCGGTCTCGGCCACGGCCCCCGGCCCCTCGGCCACGGCCATCACTCTGGCGGTCTCGGCCACGGCCCCCGTGACGTCAGCCCCGCCCCGCTGACCTTGTACCAGCTGATGACCGGCTCCGGGGTGCCCCTGGCCTCACACGCCAGGATCTCCGAGTCTCCGACGTTGACGAACAGGTTCTTTGGAGGAGTGGTGACCAGCCGGGGAGGAGCTGCGGAACACCGTCGACACGTCGGTAAGGGCGACACCAACTAACCTCGATCATCGCCAGCAGATGGCGCATGCTCACCGGCGAGGTTTGAAAACCCAGCTGGCATGTTTTTCTCACAAAAACGATGATGTTGGCATAATGGTGATGATTATGACGGCATTTCTCACAAAAAACGAGATGACATGTTATCACAGACGCATAACATGGAAGTATATATGCACGTACGCCATTGACGTCCCCGCACAGAAGCACATACCACGGATGTCAAAATGGGCTCAATCACACAGGCACGTGGTGTGATGTCCCGGTCGGCTCAATCACACAGGCACGTGGTGTGGATGTCCCGATCGGCTCAATCACACAGGCACGTGGTGTGGATGTCCCGATCGGCTCAATCACACAGGCACGTGGTGTGGATGTCCCGATCGGCTCAATCACACAGGCACGTGGTGTGGATGTCCCGGTCGGCTCAATCACACAGGCACGTGGTGTGATGTCCCAATCGGCTCAATCACACAGGCACGTGGTGTGATGACCCGGTCGGCTCAATCACTCAGGTACTTGATGTGGATGTTCAGATGGCCCCAGGTACACAAACACGTACCGCTTACGTTCAGGTGGATACAGCGCGGGTACGTACCGCGAACGTCCACGTGGATACAGGCACGGGCACGTACCGCGTACGTCCAGGTGGATAAAGGCGCGGGCACGTACCGTGTACGTCCAGGTGGATACAGGCGCGGGCACGTACCGTGTACGTCCAGGTGGATACAGGCGCGGGCACGTAACGCGTACGTCCAGGTGGATATAGGCGCGGGCACGTACCGTGTACGTCCAGGTGGATGTAGGCGCGGGTACGTACCGTGTACGTCCAGGTGGATATAGGCGCGGGCACGTACCGTGTACGTCCGGGTGGATACAGGCGCGGGCACGTACCGCGTACGTCCAGGTGGATGTAGGCGCGGGCACGTACCGTGTACGTCCAGGTGGATACAGGCGCGGGCACGTAACGCGTACGTCCAGGTGGATACAGGCGCGGGCACGTACCGTGTACGTCCAGGTGGATGTAGGCGCGGGCACGTACCGTGTACGTCCAGGTGGATATAGGCGCGGGCACGTACCGTGTACGTCCAGGTGGATACAGGCGCGGGCACGTACCGTGTACGTCCAGGTGGATATAGGCGCGGGCACGTACCGTGTACGTCCGGGTGGATACAGGCGCGGGCACGTACCGCGTACGTCCAGGTGGATGTAGGCGCAGGCACGTACCGTGTACGTCCAGGTGGATATAGGCGCGGGCACGTACCGTGTACGTCCAGGTGGATACAGGCGCGGGTACGCACCGCCTACGTCGAGGTGGATGTAGGCGCGGGCACGTACCGTGTACGTCCAGGTGGATACAGGCGCGGGCACGTACAGTGTATATCCAGGTGAACCCATGTGGATACAGGCGCGGGCACGTACCGTGTATATCCAGGTGAACCCAGGTGCCGTTTCCCAGCTCGGCCGGTGACCGGTCCAGAAAGTGGACGACACACTCGTACCAGCCAGCGTCCATTTCGGTGATGTTGGTCATGTTGAGCGAGGCCATGCCGTACTGTGTGCTCCGCAAGTCCACCCGGCGGACCCGGCCCTCGTAGCTGTCGGCCACGTGCGGAGGGTAGCCGTCGTACCAGATGTACAGGGGCGGATGGAGCTCCTGCCGAAACACGCGGGCTGCTTAGTCACCAGATGTACAGGGGCGGGTGGAGCTGCTGCCGAAACACACTGGGCTGCTTAGTCACCAGATGTACAGGGGCGGATGGAGCTCCTGCCGAAGCACGCTGGGCTGCTTAGTCACCAGATGTACAGGGGCGGGTGGAGCTCCTGCCGAAACACGCTGGGCTGCTTAGTCACCAGATGTACAGGGGCGGATGGAGCTCCTGCCGAAACACACTGGGCTGCTTAGTCACCAGATGTACAGGGGCGGATGGAGCTCCTGCCGAAACACACTGGGCTGCTTAGACGACGGTCGAGGGCTGTCAGGCCTCAGGAGATGCATGGATTCCACTGCAATTCCGTGGCTAGACAAATCTGACACACACAATCGTTAGCCCCACGCAAAAAGCTTAACACTAATGCCCCCCCCTCCCCCATTTGCATATTTTAATGACTAGGAGGATGTCACGTTGCCCCTCCTTCCAAAAATGGTCCCGGGTCGTCGGGTGGTTATTGAACTAGCACACAACACAACTCTACAAACGCTACCGCGGCGATTTATGTTTCCTTTGGCCAGCTTCTACTTACTCTACTCTACTCTCCCATCGGTGGGCAAAGGGTTAAATGAGCGTGTGGATGAATGCAAACCTGTACGGTGTACCGCTCAATTACCTAACCTGAAAAGTGTGTACGGTGCAACACATAAACAGCAAACATTAGTGAAAGTACCTTCACTTGTTGCACCTTGGACGCTTATTTTCCAATCGGGCGAAAAATAGCGCTGAGCGGACACGGTCATCACCATTCCTGTCCCATTCGCTGCACGGCTGCTTACCGTACAATACAAACATTCACTGCCTGCCTGTCTGTTATGTTGGCATATTGTGTAACTGTGAGATGCCAACCAATGCTCTGTGGCAGGAAGCGGTACTATATTGATGCCATCGACGCGCCGCCTCTTCGTGCTGCAAAGCAGGCTTGAACCACAACTGAATAACGATCTGTCCGATGTCTCGATGGCGCGGCGGTCGCGGCAGTTGCGCCGGAAGTGTGTCCCAGCGACCCAATAGTGTTTAACTGCTTAGCATGTATATATGCATACATACTGTGTGTATATGTATGTACGTATACATACATACTGTGTGTATATGTATGTACGTATACATACATATGTATATATATATGTATATATATATATATATATATATATATATATATATATATATATATATAGCCCAGGGATGTAGCCAGCCTGTGCGGACCCCGATGGTGAGAACGTATCTATCTCGGCTCTTGTCCTGAAAATCCGTAATACTGCAGGTGGCATGCAGGGACCAACGTGACAGGCAAGTCGTGAGGCCGTTACAGTGCCGTGACCACTCATCTGACGACGAATACAAAGGCAGAGACGAAGGCTATGGCTACGATTATGATGATGGTGATGATGGCGATGAGGTGATAATGATGGCAACAACGATGACAGGCCATAAACTACACAGGCCTCTCAGGCCGCGGCGCACTCGGTCAGCGGAATGGTCGGAAGCGTCGTGCCGCGTCACTTTCATGTTTCTTGTTGATTCCAGTGGCCGCCTAATTAACACAGTAAAGTTTGTTTCCCAGGCAGTCCTCCAAACTGACGAAAAGCCGCGAACCGGCGTGACACGCGGATCGTGAAGTCGGGACAATGCCGCAATCACTCGCCTGTTTCCTCCACTCGATGACGTAGGGCACGGGTTGGCCGTCGGGGAAGTCCAGAGGGCAGTCAAGCACCACACCCTGCCCGACCAGCGCCGTCAGGTGCTTCGCATTCTGCAGGTTCAATCCTGGCGGTCACACAGCGGCCGGCGTGAACACAGGTGAGTCACACAGGGGCCGACGTGAACACAGGTGACGGTCACACGGGGGCCAACGTGAACACAGGTGACGGTCACACGGGGGCCGACGTGAACGCAGGTGACGCTCCCCGCACGCTGCTCCCGTCGTACACACGCACTACGCACATGCCCTGGTCGCTCAACGCTTGCTACGAGAAGCTCGGAAAAGAGTCGGCCTCGTCCAAGTAAGCGAGGATCATCGTTCCCACATGTGCACGCCTGTAGGATATGTACATATATATATATATATATATATATATATATATATATATATATATATATATATATATACATAGTGCTAAGTAGCACCATCAGATCTATTTAATTTGATTATGTGTGGCTATATACGAGTTGTAATGTATAACGCTCCGCGAAAATACATAGTGCAATAAGTCATATGTTTTCAAATTAAAACATGAGTAGTACATCAGTACAGCACCCCACACGAAACCAAGAAGCAACAGCCACGTGCAAGTTCATTCCTTCTTTAGGCACAAAGCTATAGAAATCTCACACTTGTGTATTTTACGCAGTCAAAACATGGCATTTTCCCACTTATACTTTAAGAGGATAACATTTGCGCCAAAGTTCGTCATACGAAGCTGTTTCCCAATATTAAACACACAAAGGATCACAAAAAGTGGTCTGTTTTCCTTTCATTAGCGTCATAAGTCCGCTTCAGTTGCGCATGTAGTAGCACACTACAACAGGATGGGAAGGTACTCGGCCCGTCACATCTTTGTAGAGTTACGAAGATGTTACCCCGTTGGTATAAGGCATATATATATATATATATATATATATATATATATATATATATACACTGCGTAATGGAGTGATGACGTAACGGACCATTATCCACGGATAAGAAAAACAGCAGATGTTGACTCTGTGTCTGGTATAAATTTTGTGCAGCACAGATGGAAAAACTATAAACATTTCTTCAGCTCACATCTTGCCAAGTCCCATCTCTTCAACGTACAAAAGGCGCAACAATAGTCATAGGCTTTAGTTAGGTACTTGGTAGCAATCTACTGGGTTTGCGATCTTAGGTTGGTAAGCATTAAGCTATTGTACAGTATTTTCATATGTTGTTAATATTTTGGCGAAAGTAAAAAGTGACACACGAAGTAGATGAAGTGATGATTAGCAACCATAAATAACTAAGCCGTGCTCCACTCAAATCTGCCTATTGGACAAATGCGAGCAATCTCATCCCTTTCCACGAGTAGGCTTTTAGCAGCAGAGGCAGCATTCTCACGCCTTTAGACACGGCTGAGCTGCGCACTGCTGAACGCTCCGTAAGATGACTGGTGCCTGACTGGTGAGGGCTCTGTCTTCAAAGGCAGTCTCTCAAGTACCTCATGAAATCAGGCGGCTGGCGTGGGTCAGGACCATCAGAATAATAACGCAGTTTGCTTTAGACTGAGTTAGTGCGGTTGGTATGTGAGTTGTTGCCCATGAACATGCCCAGGTTTAACAGTCCTGCAATGGGCCACTGCCGTGCTTCCCATCATTTAAAACGCAAACTATGGGCATATAGCGAACCCATTGTGGTTTACTAAGACGCTAAAAGCCCAAGAACTACCAACATTGACGTCAGGTTCGTTTCAGCAAGACTTCCTACCATCTGGCACAATTATATTTTTCCAAGTTTGGCCACATCACGGAACATAAACTAGCGAGTACATAGATGCAGATGTTTGGCGTTTGAGAATGCACTAGTGTGGTGTTCTCCATCTTCAAGGTTCAACCCATTCGAAAAAGAACACGAAAAACCAAGCACAGCTACCTTAGGAGAGACCGCTTTGCTAGGTAAACCGTTTGGCAGAAAATTGGGACCACCAACCATTCCATAAAATGCATAACTTTCCAGGCGGCCGCTCAGTCCGCTAGCCGAGCCCGGTCGGTCGGCGGTACCTCCATCAGGCCGGTGTGTGCGGCCGCTGATGGTGTTCGTGTGACCATTGATGGCGGCCGCTCAGTCCGCTAGCCGAGCCCGGTCGGTCGGCGGTGCCCCCATCAGGCCGGTCTTTGCGGCCGCTGGTGGTGTTCGTGTGACCTTTGATGGCGGCCGCTCAGTCCGCTGGCCGGGCAACGTCGGCCGGTGGTACCACCATCGGGCCGGTGTGTGCGGCCGCTGGTGGTGTTCGTGTGACCTTTGATGGCGGCCGCTCAGTCCGCCGACTGTGCCAGGTCGGTCGGCGGTGCCCCCATCAGGCCGGCGTGTGCGGCTGCTAGTAGTGCAGCTCATTTGAGACCGTGTGACCTTTGATGGCGGCCGCTCAGTCCGCTGGCCGGGCCCGGTCGGTCGGCGGTGCCCCCATCAGGCCGGCGTGTGCGGCTGGTAGTAGTGCAGCTCAATTGAGACCGTGTAACCTCTGATGGTGGCCGCTCAGTCCGCTGGCCGAGCCCGGTCGGTCGGTGGTACCTCCATCAGGCCGGTCTGTGCGGCCGCTGATGGTGTTCGTGTAACCTCTGATGGCGGCCGTTCAGTCCGCTGGCCGAGCCCGGTCGGCCGGCCGGCGCCGAGCCAGCCGCCCTGAGCGGCGCGGCGCCGCTGGTCGATATGTGCCGCCAGCGCTGCCGTGTCGCGACGGCCACCGAGCCACCAGATGGCCCCACTGCCATGCGGCCGTGATGGCGCGCCGCAACGCCACGGCACGGCATCCCGGAGGACGGCGCGCTCCTCGCGCTAGCCAACGGCTCGGCGCGGGCCGGCCGCGGCGACTCTTCCACCGCGCTGAGCAAATGCAGTCAGCTGATGACACCACGCAGGCAATAATGACCTCCACAGGCTACACTCGTGGCTGCATCAGTAGGCTGATTATAGCCTGCTCCGAGACTATGGGGACTGCAAAGACAGATTGCCAGCGCTAACAAGCCAAGGAATAGGGCAGCATCTGCCAGAACGTCATGGCCCGTAACGAAAGAACACAGCACATCTTTGCCATCTTTTGGCACCAATCCCCGACAAAAGCTGGTAACCGATTAGGCAGAAGGGCGAGGCGCCAGCATGAAAGGCGCCGAGCATCCGCGAACGCTAGCCAGTGCAGTCGGGGCCAAGGCTGGGGAACACACGAGTGGGGAAGGGGGAGGGGGACGCACGCAGCTGAGCCGCTCGCCAATATTCGTGCAGCAGTATGGTTGGCAGCGCTTTCAAGCCAATTCAGCTGTAAAAGTGCATGAAAGCATATCAAAGATTTGAATAAAGTGTGAGGCTTTTGCGTTCTGACATTGATGTGAAACGGACGAGGACTTCGATGATTTCACACTCATAGGTGCCTTAACACCAATGCTCGTCCCATTTTCCGTCTCCGCGTCGTACGGCATAGATTCCTAACCGCTTGTGAAGCGCTCTCCCCCCCCCCCAAAAAAAAAAATTGAGAAAGAGAGATAAAGGAGCCATTCTTGCCTTAACCTCTACAATACATGAACAGGCAACGTAACAAAAACACATTCGCACAGAAGCCGGCCTAAAACGAAACGCTGCCACGTGAAATGGAGCCAGTGAACGGGGTGGAGCGCACACAACCTTATCGCGCACTTCAAGAGACGGCGAACCCGCGTCTAGGTTTGCAACAAGCCAGGCAGAGGGGATCACAGATTCTTTGAAAGCTTGTGAAGATAGACCACCAGATTGAGGGAGGGTAAGCCACAATGTTCAGGATTCCTCGACAGTCGGTACACTGGGTTGTCGATTGTCTTGAAAACAGAACCGCTCTCACGGAACTTTACACTTCTCGTTCACCTAACATTACCAGCGTGTTTTGCGAAGCGTTGGGCTAAACATTAATTGGTTTTCCCGCGCTGATACCGGCAACTACGACGGGGAGCCTAACTCCTGTAATATTGCAACATCGCACTGGTACGGAATAACCCAACTACAACCGGCTCATTTTTGCAGAGGACCAGGCAATCAAGAGATATGCTGTTTTTTGCTTTTTAGCTGGCACTTGCCTGAGATGGAATGCTGAATGACAGACGGTCTAACGCCCACCAGAAGCCGAAACGCTAAGGATCACTCAGTGTTCGCGCTTCTTCTATGACTCAATGACTGCAGTCCTTACAATATTGCGTACTTGTACTTCTATCTCAACGTCAGCACAGTTTGACACTTTTGTGACCATGTGTGACCTATGTGAGCCCTCCATGTGTGACCTATGTGTGACGTCCTTGTGTGACCTGTCGCGCATGTAATATGGTAATATCGCACAGAGGTGCAGAAGATCCGCCGAAGTAATGTATCTAAACTTTGCCACAATGGGATCAAATGGCCAGTTAATGCTGTCCCAGTTTTCCGCCCGCTCCATTATTCTTCCCTTTTTAACAACGCTTCAGTTTAAATCCCTTGATAAATTCACCATATCATAGCAACGGCCTGTCGTGGGCGATAACTTTTTGAGATTGACGCAATACGTAGCTCACACTTCCGTTAGCGCATGTCTTTTGGCCTCTAATTACTTACGAATTTGACTAGCAATTTCATGCCGTGCAGGCTAGATGAAACCAGTGAATCACCCGTATAGATGTGACTAATGAAACATCCGTAAAGATGTTACCTATCTAACACACGCACAGATGTTACCAATCAAACACCGTACATTATCTCACCGATCAGGTACAGGTACACGTACAGGTGTTTCCAATCAAACAATCGTAGATGTCACCAATGAAACACCCGTACATATGCTTCTAATGAAACACCCGTACACATGTTATGCTGGATGAAACTAATGAAACCCCTGTGTAGATGGTATGCCCTACATGTGCGTAAGTCATTTTCAGACGCGTCGTTCCCGTGTTCTGTCAAACTGGGTACAGTGCGGAAGCGTTCATTTGTGCCCGATTCACAAAGTAATTTTGTTAAGCCTATGGCAGATCTAGTTCAGACCTGCCGAGATCAAGATCACTGAGTCGCACTAGCATACGACAGCATACTTTCTGTACTACATCAGCTTGTCATACACTGGTGATGCTTTCACACCCTGGGCTTTAAATGAGGTAACCTCGACAGTTGCCAAACTTACAGCACGCTGGTGGTCGTGGAAGACTACGAATTCGAAACACACTATCTAGTCAGTACCGGGGTTGTGGCGGTAGTTCCCACACCCTAAGAGCAGCGAGGCATTTCTGTGTTACAAAGAGATATAAAGGACTGAAGAAAACGGAATGCAATGATGATGAACCGAAAATGATGACGGAAATGAGTTAAGGGCATGTTTCATATTTCAGGATATTTAAGCAAACATTCTATATGATTGAACAGGCCCATTTATAACTTTGGAATACCTTTAAAGTGAGAAAGGCTGCTCTTGGCAACACAATTTATCTGTTTACCAAATATGCTCCTCAATGCGTCATGGTTTGATTACGTCATCGTACCTTGCACAACAACGACTGAGAGCCAATTGACGACCGTTAGACCTGGAAATTGCGCTCATGAACGCCTCGGCAATTATATTATTTTTGATATTGATCACCCGAGGGCTTATGGAACGGCAGGATTTTAATGATGTTGTCATGACGTCACGAATGCCAGGGTAACTGAAATGCTGTCCCGAAAAACCTTTCCCAGTTTTCGTGCGCGTGTAGCTCAGAAACTAAAGGGGCTTAGGTCTCAAGACGGACAGGATTGTGAACAGCACCGAAAGGTCCTCAAGATATAGCCATCTTGAAGACCTTTCGGTGCTGTCAGTTAAAAATCCCACATAAATGTGGAACACTCCCTTCTAGTGAATTGCTACAAAAGATGACCATCCCAGCCACAGTGCCCAAGAGTCCCATGAACGCGACTCAGGAAACCATTAACAGCGCTTTCCAGGGTGTCTAGATTAACTTAAACTTCTCTTGATGTATGGGTAAAATGGTTTAGTTTTTTCAACTGAGCATGCCAGGCCGCTCTGGCACCAAAAAGTGGAAACAAATATGCAAACCCAACGCAAAAAAAACCTCCGCCACACAAAGCTCCAGTCAGGCAAAGCATTCAAAATATATGCTGGCATGTTATGTAAGAATTTAAGAAAAACAACAGTGGTAAATAGTGTTAAAAATCATGACAAACTGTCGCCATCTGATCCAACTCAAGTATAATGAAAACCTCCATAAACGCAGGGTGGCATGACAGCTCCATAAACACAGTGCCGGGTCCATGGTCATCTGACAGCTCCAAAACTTCAAACGAATTTTTTACAAAGATCACTAGAATTAAATATCAAAGATCAAACTACAGAATCAAAGAGAAGATAATTCACTAAAGACCAGAAATCCAAAGGATAAACAAATGGCCAAGTCATAATCGCGTATCACACGTACTTCATCAATTAGTTATAAATCTAACGATTATAGGTTCCTCAAATCAATCAATCAATCAATCAATTTTCAATCAGCTGTATATGATTTACTTATTTCCGAAATGGTTATCCAAGATAGCCAAAATCTAATGTAAGGCAAATTTCAGATAACAACGTCGATTACATAGGTTGAACAACTTCACAATTCGTATGAAACATAATACATAGTACTTTATTCTGTGCGCACAAAATATAATTGCAATGTTCTTCAATAAAATAATTATACGGAAGCTGGTAAATCCCAAATTCCGATTTGAAAAACGCCGGTTGGCCAGCGTCATCAAATAGGCTCTGTGTTGTGGCTTCTGCCCGGCTTTACCTAGTATTTCTATCGTATTCCCTAGCCGTTGGGTTCATCATAATGCATGGGCAAGGTCCTTTATCGACAAGATAATTCCGAGTCAAAGTTATACACGACCTCGGATCACCTGAAATGACCCCTTGAAAACCATTCACCTCAGTCGTGCTCATCAGGATTTAAAAAGAAGTTGCCAAATGGCCAACTAGATTTTCAACCAAAATTTGCACTGTTAAGTATGCCCCAAACTAGTTCATGCCTTGGGCATAGACTAGTTTATCTAGACAGTCTGGTTTATTCAGGGCATAGCCTAGTCTTTTGGTCTATTCCCTAAAACTTGTTTGAAAATGTCTGAGCCAGTTCGCTTTATTTGTAACAATAAAATACTTTCATGCTTGCTATACATGTTACACATGCCTTTGCACACCATTTCAGCGTCCGCCACTTTGCATTTACACGCATCATTACGGCGGGCGTTTCGTCGTTGCCATAGTAGAGACCTTTGGGTACAAAACAAGCGTTTGCAATGAGTATGATTATATAAATGGATCCGCATCTTTATTTTAGCCTAAAATTCACAAAACTGTGCCACAAAACCTCCCATTCCATGTCCTGCCCTTGCAACTGAATGCTTTCCAGAAAATATACATTCCATCGAGCTCATTTCAGCAAAATGTGCAGGTGAATTCCATGAGAAGTCACAACTGCGTGCCACTGCCGCTGGCGGTTAGGAAGCAGCATGAAAACATTACTTGGGGCACAATCTGAGCCTACCGGAAAAAAACGGAACGGAAAAAAATTGACTGGTTCTAATTGGCATGCCTTTATTCGAGATCAACAATGATATCGACGGAGGCCAGGTATGACATCTACAGAGCCGGGTCCGGTCCAGTCAGTGCAGTGGTTAAGCTGGGAGCATCTGGGAGAGCAGACGTTCGGGGTCCGATTCCGCTCCATGTCCGTTCATCCCGCCAGAGTGAGAGGCAGGCGACGCCACACGACCGCAGCAGCTGAGGGTGTCGGCAAGCCCCAATATCACAGAGAACTAGGTATTCTGCCTGGGGTCCTGGAGTAACAGATTGTAAGTAGGTGCCGCCCATTGGGAGTGCATGTCCGCGGTGACCCCCTTCATCAGTAGTTGCACAGAACACAAACCGTTGCTATGATTTTGAACTGTCAGAATGCCAGATACTAACGGATCCCACTGGTCCGTGTTTGCCCGCGCCAGAAACTAAAAATAAAGCACTGTTGATGAGACTCGTCGCGCACAGTTGCAAAAAAATACTACGCACATAGATCAAAACCAATTCTCCCTATGTGTGTTGAATACAGCGATTTGTTTCTCCATTCTGTTGTGCTCAGCATCCTGCGAGAGACATAAATCAACCATCAGACATCAAAGAGTTTTAGTGGCCGTAGCCGTACGTTTTTTGCCAGACGTATCGAGATTCGTGCCTTGAATAGGCTGAATCAAGTATTTGCATAGTTGATGTATAGCACGTGCACGTTTAACGTGTAATTTTTACGGTGTCTTCCTTTTACGCGTGAACATTTGGCGGAGTCAGCAATGCGCGTGTCGAAAGTTTGCGCGTTTATCTTTTGCAGTGACGATATTTTCCGTGTCTTGTTTGCCTGATGTTATTTTGCAGGCCGATATTTTCCATGCGATATTATGCGATCGATCTTGTGTGTCAATATTTAGCAAGTGGATATTTTGTTCTGTTAGCACTTCTTATGCCGCTATGTAATGAGTACTAAGGGACAATGCAATGTCTGCCTGAATCTTGATTTACCACGAGTTGCTGGACGAGTAGCGGTGAGACGGGACTAACGCTCACCATTCTAGCGGCTGGGCTGGGGTGGAGACCACGCGTGTCATGTGTGGGTGGGTGACCCTACATCGTCACCGACTAGGGTACAGCCCCAAACGACACCTCTCAATCACACCCCATTTGTGTGGCCATGTAAATGTACGGCGACAGCCAACTTCCTGCCTGCTTTAACACCGACCATTGAAGCAGCACGGATACAAAACGCACGCCAACATGAGCGCGCGCCGCGATACAACACGTTGAAGCCTGCGCTCCACACGGCCACCCCGCTGACGTGGGCTGCCCTGCAGCCGAGCCTGGATTGATCGGGCTGGCATCATGTGACGTCACGTACCGGTGGCGGCCGGGATGAGGAGCAGCGCCGTCCAGACGCCGATCATGGTCCGGGCCGGCCGACCGAGTCGCATGGTGCACCCATCAGAACCGCCCCCGGGTCAGCTCCTGTCGACGACGGCACACATCAGCGGTCGGCCACTGGAACTACTACAGTCACTGCTAGAGAATAACCACCGACGCGGTTAAAGCGAGGCACACAGTAGCACGCCATGCCAGCCATCATGCTCGTGACACGATGCGCTAGCTAAAACCGCAACTCACTGAGCGCTCCATGCACCAGGCACTGGCCTGGCGCACTCTGCCATGGCTGACAACTGTTGTATTCTTCATCGCGCTTTCGGGTAGATCCCACGACAAACGCAAGCTCATCAATGTTTCGATCCTGTTTTCAACAGCAGCAAAATATAAGCCATGAAGAGAACGAAATTTCTCGTCACACTGCAACAGAATAGACAACACGTCACAGCTACAGAAGTTGCTTTTTCTTACATCGTAGCATCGGACATGCCGGAGAACGTTCTCTACTTGACCCTCCCATTGCACCTGGAATGACTTTGGAGCGGGTTAAGCCCTCCCCCTCAGATAGAAGTAGAGCGTGAGCGCCAGTTTGCGGACTGCGGACGCGCGCTCCGACCCGTTCCGGGACGCGGTTCCCGGACCGAATCAGCGCGCGCACCAGCACGTTCACGCCAGAGGTGCCGTTTTTCTCAAAGTTCTTTCTGAAGTTCATCCTAAAGTCCAAAGAAGGGCAAGCTGCCCAATCAAAGAATTTCCAAAAATCAGGTTGTCCCAAAATTTCTAATTTTGTAAGCATCAACTTCTACCACTGTCTCCAACCAAAAACCCTAGTGACTACTCGCGTCGCCGCGCTCTCACACTGGAATCGAATGAAAAGAAGAAGAAGAAATATCTAAATCCAAAGATTTTTGTTCCCGCCCGTCTAATTTCACCTTGGAATTAGGAACAACTAGGATCCAAAAATTTAGAATTCAATCAGCACCTCCCGGTCACACCCATACCCACACCCACGTACGGTTTTTGACATATTTATACGCACAACTTCGCGTCACACATCACTGCAAGCCAATCCTTATTCGCAAAAATTCCTTATACCAAATCTTTGGATCCGTAAAACTTTCTTCCGACAATATTTCAACTAGTTTTTTCTTCTTTTTTTTGGCAGACGTATTTCTTCGCATTTCAACTGCGTGTGACACAGTTTTTCGCGCATGCATTGCTTTGAATCGCATTTTGTCTTGGTACACGTCATACTTCCCTTCACGCTTCTTCGTATTGCATTTTCTCGTAAACGTGCTTTTCACGCCGTATTTTTGACGTAGGTACGCAGTCTTTGCCACCAAATATCTAGCATTAGGAGCGAAACGATGGCGTTTCCTCACCATCCGCTTTAATCCGCTGCTCGTTCCTCGCTAACAGTGTCTTCCGCTGTTGCCTTGTAAGTACCCCGTGCTTGGAGAAGCCCTTCCGTTACCCCACCCAACAACATTAAAGGGAATGTTCCACACTTGTATGGCGTTTTGAACTGAAATAGCCATCTTGAGGATCTTTTGATGTAGTTCACGGTTATGTTCTTTTTAAGACCCAAAACCATCTGGCTCCTGAGGTACACGCCGGCAAAAGTGCGAAAAGGTTTATCGGGAGACTATTTCAAAGTTGCCTTGGCATTAATGGCGTCAAAGAAACGTCATGCGATCGCGGTCATATTACAGGCTGTTCTCTGCTTATGGTCAAAACAGCATGGCCGCTCATACATTCGCAAAAGCGATGATGCGGCACGTATGATACAATACGCGGAAGATGATTGGCTGTTAGCAAGATTTCGCTGATGAATGCGCGTCGCGAACGTAAGCGTGAGCACTTTCAACTTGTGCGGCAGTAGTCGTGAACGGGTCATTTTTTCGTATTCCAGGCCACAGGTCAATGCTATAAAAAAACGCCACTGTCTGCAAAAAACTACGACACCCAAAAACGGGTACTCTCTCGAAAGCTATAAAAGGAAGACGCAACGGCAAATCTGTTTGTCCCGTCCTGGCGTTTTTTCTTCTTCCACTGACGTATTTCTAACAGACAGCTCGGTTGGCGCCTTGCGTTCCGGAGCACAGAACCTTGCACGGGTTTATGAGTTAGCAAGGCATTATGAAATTCGGGAAAAATCACAGTAGTTTAGATATGTATTTCGCAAAATATTTCACACATATTGTACCACAAATCTAAATCTTGAGGAAAGAAGTTTGTTCTACAAGTACAACCTCTTGAGCTGCATTGCCATGAACCCCCCGTTGGGACTTAGTTGTGAAGGGAGGTCACGGTGAAATGCAGTGTTATAACTGAACATCTGTGCGGGAATTGCGAGAAAACCTGCAATTTGATAGCCCCGGGAGCTGTGCAATTGTGATATCAAACTTATTAGACAAAAGAATGTGAATCGACGGCTTGAAATGTGTGTGATCGCTGATGGTGTGCGCCAGTGGCTTGTGTTGATCTTGATGTGATGAGGAGTGTGTGTGCGAGGTTTGTACTTCTGAGAGAGAACATTGTTTTGACATTCTTTAGGTCTGCTGACTCCTACTTAAATGTGATATATTGATACCTGCCCCTATATTTATGTTTGCGTTTGAAAATGACAAAGAAATGCCGGCAAACTAAGAGAAACACTAGCATATATGTTGCAGGGGTGTACAAAGGCAAGCATTATGATCTTGCCAACATTTTGAGCCTACTGAGGCATTACAGCATGCAATTAACCCATTGCATATCATTATATCAGCAATTCATTTTAGCAGTAGGGGAAGGTGCGTGCAGCTCATTAAAAGACATGCTCAGTATAGGCTCACATTATGTCGCTTTGCAAAATTGTCTTTCCCTAAAGAATTCTGAAAATATAGAGCTGCATTAATACTGATGCACCTTGCACGGCCTTAACAAGCTATGTATGCAGGCGAGCATCGCTCGTAAGCCATCAATGTCATAGTTGCTGCAACTCGCGTGAGATGCTGGTTGCTGAGAAAGGTGGAAAAGTACTGCTGTTGGTGTCTTGGATAGCACTTAATAACATTTTTATCATGAGCTTTGTGTGCACTGGCAGCTTCATCACTTCCTTGCATTTTGCCCATCCAACCATAACTACGTGCACTTGTTATGTATCAAACCTTGTGCAAGGTCAGCATGTTTGCAGTGTCATTTCACCACATGCAAAATTTTCTGTTATTTTGTTTAGTTAAGTAGCTTGATGGCTGCAGCATGTTGCATGACTGTGGAAGTGGAAGATGTGTTTGCATCTCTGTCACCTACGTTTTGTAATTTCCCACGACAGACTGAGCAAGTGATGCCACTTATTGTTGTCTGCTTGCTGAAGGTGATTTGTATATTGTATCATGTGCTTTTGGTTTGTCATATGTCATATGGCGAGTCAATACATAAGCGCTCGCTTCACCCACCTTTTCATGATGGAATTTATTATGAAAGCAGCACGGATTGCAGTGCAAAACAATGTTGTTGCTGATTATGTCATGCCACAGTACAGCAC